CATATCAATATTTCTCTGCGGATTCGGGGAGATCTCGACAAGCGCAGTCCAACCCCATCATCGAAAAAAAAAATGGACCCCTTTTTGGGCCCAACCGGAATTCCGGTTGGACCACCGGGGTTCCAAACGGCCCGGTTGGGTCCAACCGGCCGGTGGCCGGTGCAGCCCTGCCGTGTGTTCTATTCGGGAGAAGACGGTAGCCTGGACGAGTATGCTGGAGTGGGAACAATAGGTATGTTCAGCAGTTGTGTTTCAGGTGCAGTGCTGTGGTGAAATAAAGAATACCCCTGGAAAGGAGCATCCTTCGAACCGGTGTTTCCACGGTAAAAGAAAAATTGACAGGCCAGGAACCCTCAGAGCTCCTCCAGAGACGAACCAAGGTTTCATTTGCCCACCACATTTTTCTAGTAAATAGATGCTCCTTCTCCTAGCCCAAGAGTTCACAACATCTCAGGGATGCTCGCCTTTCTGTTTCCTGATGTTTTTGGCATTTTCAGGATTGGATTCCGTACCCATCTTGAAGAAGCATTTAACTGCGTCCCGCTCGAAGTTCAAGCTTGTGGAAAGTACCACTGAGAATGTGTGGAAACCTTCAATGAGATCTTGTGCGATGAACTGGTACTGGCCTGGGGCTGCTGCCATTGTTCGGTTTGCTGTACAGCTCCGCCAGTTGAATCCGAACTTTCGACTCAAGTACTGGTCGGTGGCAACCTCATCCTTCGTTCTGCCAGGAAGCAGAGCAATGTCCTCTGCAAAGGCAGAGGCCCGCACTGTGTGGCGGCACAAATACTCCTCCCCGGAATGAGTTTCCCATGCAAGCGCAAAGCCCGAGAACTGATCACTATATGCCACCAGCCTACCATATCTATCCACCCTCATAATTGGTGCCTTGGGATCGCTCCACTGGATAGTCCCAGGCCCAGTCCCTGCAAACACAGCCGCAACCACAACCACGACCACAACCACAACCACAACATGCAATGTTGATTTGGTGATCACAATGATTAGAGTCTTTTCGTGCGAACAGAAAATTTGCCTGACTCTCTGGCTGCAGGCCGAATCGTCCAAACACAAAACAAAAGAGAAAATGCTCTTTGTCCTTCGGAACGTCTGTTAAAATTGGAATGATACACATGACCCCTGCTCATAAATCGAGAAGTAGGTCCAAATAAAAAAAAAAGAAAGAAGCTTTCTCGTTTTGAACAAGTTCAGAGAAGCAAGTAAGAGAACACAGCGCACGAGCAACCCCCTCTGGATGTATAATTAGTGTGCATCAGGTGGTTCAGACTAGAAGCTTAATGACTTTGAAGTTTGAACCAGGTTCCTGCTTGGTGCTATGCCCATGTTCAGAAGGCTTGGACCAGTTCCTGCTTGGTTCTATGCCCATGTTTAGAATGCCCATGCAATGACGTGCAGCTTGGCAGAGTAGGCATACAAGAGGATCTTCTGTATTGCATGTGCGACTGTGCCATGCTGCTACATGCTGCTACATGCTGCTACATGATGCATGTAGATGGCTGCGGGCTAGGCCAAGTATTATCCCAAACAAGATAGGGATATGTTCTTGATTTGGTTTCTTCGACTGCAAATTTCACCATGTGTTAGTCTGATTTTCAATTTTTTTTTTTAAGAGCTTGATTTCATTTATATATATATGAGCAAAAGGAGGCTGCAAATCCCTCCACATCTCAACCCGGAGTACCGGGGCTAATACCCAGCTTGGGCTTTTACTGGAAAACGGGTCCAGTGTCCCATGCTTCGGGGATCTCCCCTAGCTGATCCTCAACCTAATTTTCGAAGACGGCCCCGCGGGAGCTCAGCTAAAAAGGGGAAAAAGAGGAAAAGGTGATGAAAGCCGACCAGAGGCTACTTACTCATCCTGGAAACTAGTTTGAGTTTTCTCCTCTAAAACCCTAAACCCTGTTTCCCCCCCTGCCTGCTACTCGATGTCTGCCTCTCCTGTGGGGACCCTCCTGCTGTGTGAAGGCCCTTTTTTAACCACCCTAAGTCCTCTACAATGAGGTAAAAGCCCGATCCTCTCAGGTGGAAGGCTGTCAGATTGACGTCTCTCTGCTCCAGCTCTGCCTCCCCTGTGGCATGCTGGGACAGTCCTTCAGGAAATGGTCCCCCGCGCATCTCAGGCAGACCCCCTTGTCCTTTCTCTTCCTCCATACCCTCTCCTGGATCTTGAGTGCATGCCAGGGGAAGGTGGAAGGATCAAGGGGATCAGCTGGCCATCGGACGTCGCGTGGCAAAGGAGCTCTCTGGGCACCAGGGGAAGAGGTACGTCCCTTTCCTTTCCCCTGTTTGCTGGTTGATGCTTTCTGGGCTAGGGCCTTGCCCTTTGTCAAGCCCATCAAAGCATCAGCCAGGGCAAGAACAGCAGAATCTGCAGCAGATGATGAAGCAGTCCCAGGTGGAGGGCTCCCACCCTGGGATGCTGCGTCACTATCTGATCCTGAAGCTGCAGCAGCAAACAGGGCACCCTTCCTCCTCCTTCGCCCTTTGGAGGAGGGTCCCTTCCTTCCTTCAGAAGGTGCTTCCTGAACATGGAGCTTGGACTCCAAGTCCAGGGCTGCTCTGCCAAAGGACCGCCAATCCTTGTGGCCCTGAGATAATAAAGCCAACTGGTATTGCTCAGGCGTTGCATGCAAGAAATGAATGAGCAAATCCTGCTCACTCATCTCTAACCCTGGAGTCGAAGTCAGACTCTCAAAGGTGGAATAGAGTTTGGACAAGGAGCCATCAAATTTCTTTTGGCCTAGGCGCATAATTTTATCTGCTGCTTTCCTGGCCCGCTCCTTGTCTGCAAACCTATCCTGCAGGGCCTGCAGAAAATCGGTCACCCCCAACCTTTGTGCCCAATCAGACATCTCCATTCCTTGCTTGCTGGAGGTGGAAGTGCACCATTTCAGTGCAGTCCGCTCCAAGCGAGCAAGGATGGCAGACACCTTGACATCCTCATCACATTGGAACCCACTCAGGTAGGTTCTCTGGGCAATGACCCAATCTGCAACATCCACCTTTGGGTCCTCACCTGAGAACATGGGTGGAGGTGTCAGCTTGGGCCGCTGGAAGTCAAATGGTGTTGGGGGCTGTGAAGTTGTTGTTGATTTGGGGGTAGAGGATGGAGATGAGGGTCTGGATTGTGGGATTTGCTGAGAGCCTGCTTGAGAAGGCCTAGGAGAGGGAGGGGCCGTCTGAGCAGGTGGGATCTGCAGCTGGACGAAGAGACGGTCCAGTTTGGAGGAAGTATCCTTCAGCTGCTGAGTATGCTCAGCCATGCTGTCCTCCAGATTGGTCATCCTGGCGTCCCAGTTAGTAAAATAAGACTGATGAATTTCATCCTGCAGAAGGACGAATTCAGCTATGTCCTTATTGTACTGACTGAAGCTGCCACTCGTTCTCACCTTCTCTACATCTGCTGTCAGTTCCCGCCCCCTCGTTTCTTTTCTTGCAGACGCCTTCTTCCTCTTCAGCTCAGCCTTTAGAGACTCAACTGCCTTGGCCTGTTGGCTGAGTACCTCCAAGGAGTTAGTTGGATTTTTTTTTCAAAGTTCAGTTTGTCTAAAATTTATGTATGGCTTAGTAAAAATCTAAAAAGTCTCATTTTCTAAAGGGAGTGCTGGCCAAATTTTTACTAATTCAGGAAGTTAAACAAAACTGGACTTTGGAAAGTCAAAGTTATTCTAGCTTTTTAGACTTAGCTTTGTATAAATTTTGGAAAGTAACTTTCCAATCGGGAAACGCTGCCAAAATTTCTACAAATCTAAGGAGCTAGTAAAATTATGTTTTGGCTGAACTCAAGTTTACTTCGAGTTCTTGTCTGACTTAGTATAAATATGAGAAATCTACTTTTCTAAAGGATTTAGTATAAATATGAGAAATCTACTTTTCTAAAGGAGATGCTGCCCAAATTTTTGCTAATTCAGAGAGTTTGACAAAATTTGACTTTCTAGAGTTAAAGACTATTTCAGTTTTTATATTCGAGCTAATATAAATTTTGGAAAGACACTTTTTCTATGGGAAGCGCTGCCGAAATTTTCTTAGTTTAGAGGAGTTCAATTTTATTTTTGATCAGTGGCGATACTGGCAATACACCCTGTATGGGGGAGATTACGTCAAAGATCTGCCTTTTCTTTGGGCACTGGTTTAAGGGTAAACTTAGATTTACTTAGCAGACAGTATTGAGTAAGGATGTGCTATGGAGATTTATTCCCCATGCACTGATGATTTAGCTTGGGCTTTGACTTGTCTTATGGTACAGGTTCTTTTTTATCGTTCCGATTCAAGATTTGGACTAGTTTCAGTTTGATCTTATAAGGATCATCATCTGTTATCACTGATAACTGGTCGGTTGCCGATTCGTTGGTCTACGACTCAACTCCAATTCATTCTCATTACCCAACCTAAAAGGCTTTAGCCTTGGTGGTTTCTATTGTTTTATTAAGGTTTTCACCCAGACTTTTATTAAATGGTCATTTGACGAAGGTACTGAGTATCTATTTTGGAAGGTTGGACAAAGGTTGGGGCTTGCATAGCTAAAGCGAGGGGTATGAATATAGAGAATGGTTGAAATTGACCCCGGGTAGTGTGTGGACCTTTTGTTGATTCTTTCATGTGATTGCAGGTATGTTCTGTAATTCGGACTCTGGAATTGACTGTCTGTGATCACATACATATATATGGCTAAGAGGAGTCTCACTGTGACTGTGAGAAATGATCGTCACATATTTATTCCCCTCTATGTATATACGTATGTACCTATGTTAGAGTGTTTGCGTGACCTATAGTTCCCGCGCTTAAGGTTTAACTGGGGTTGAGATTGAGAAAGGAAAGGAGACTCCCTTCCTTTATTGTTTTGTTTCTTAAAGTTTCTTGGTCGGATGTTGGTCCTGGGCCTGGATTCGAGGTCCTTGTCTAGGACATCCCAGGTCCTAGACTCCGCGTGTAAGGGATCACCCCCCGCGCAGAGCCTATTTGCCCTGCCCACCGGGACACTCAGCCTAAGGGCCGAAGGTGCCGCGAGGGCCAAACGGTTGTTCCTTCAACCGTGCAATATCGTGAAGAGTCTGACCTTCACGATACTTCGAGTTTGACACTTGATTGTCATAAGCGGTACTCGGATCCGCGAGGGACCGCTTGATTATGGGCACTACATAATACGCCATCATTGCGACTGCTTGCGTATTTATGCATTGCTAGTCGATATGAGAAAGTCCTGCGTCCGCGCGGTATTATACTAAGTTTCGTGTGCATCGCCTATCCGATTTTTCGGCGTCGGAAGGGTATGAGATGGTTAAAAAAGGGACTAGGAGTGATGTCGTGTTGTTTGTTTTGTGTCGTTCCGTGTGTGTGAATGTTGTGGTGTAACACGTGGTATGTAGGATGTGTCCTAGTCGACCGACGTCGAGCCTCGCTTGGGGCTTCAACCCCCCAGTGCGTCGGTTCTCGTGCGGGTCCGATAGAGGCGTAAAACTGCGCGTACCCCCTATGTTACAGCAAGCGAAAAACGCCCTCGGCTGGTCCACCTTTGTGATTGCAACTGATTAGCTTTCGTACTGTGGACCGGTAGCTCGACGGGGATACACTTACCGAAGGGAGGTGACAGCTCCCACAGGTGGAGGTAAGTCGTGCCTCGCGAAGGCCCTATCCTATCGTAGGGGCTCACGAGAGGTATGGTTGGCGCACTCGGTCGAAGCGGCTTGAGGAAGCTCCATGTGTACTCGAGACGAGGTAGACTCAACTCCAGCCTAATGAGGCCGGGAGGGTCCCGCCCTGCGTGGTGTGGGACCGATGCACTTCGACATCGTGGTCATATGGGAATAGATCTGAACTGCCTGAAATTTTTGAAATACTCAAAGAACGGAAACTCCACTCCAACATGCTCGTGGAGGTGGGGGATGGCCCGAACATATGGTTCATC